GTTTCGACCATCCCGGCGGTTCACAAATGGTTTTTTAAATTTGTATTATAGTGTTTGTAATTATAACAGTATGAATGTATTATGATAAAGTATCTATAATTAGATTTTAATCATGAATTTTTCTGGGTAAATAATCCGGGTTTTTCCCATCCAGACCCAAGTTTTTTCATATGTCGCGAGTGGCAACCTTGGTCGTGAGCGTCGAAATGATTCCGCTTAGCAGTGAATCTCCGAAATATAGTCTTGTCACAAATACAGCTTTGCCGTTTTACTTGTTAACTCTACTATTCTTCAACGAATATAAATGCTTAATTAGTATATTGCTATTTTGTTTATAGCCTACTTTAAAAATTACTAATTTTAATAGACCTATGTAAAAATTTATCATGGATGTAATATTATTTACTCATTTACTAAGAATATTATGAATACTAAGGAATTATAAAAAATACATTTAGTTTTAATTACACGATTTTCTATTTACCTGATTTCAGAAACTGTAATTCTTCCCTTATGTGCACTGCCTTTCTCGTTTTTATCAGTTGCAAGGTCTTTTTATACGATAGAAAACATTCCAAGAATTCTTGTAATTCCAAGATTTCCAAATTTAAATATTTGTATATTTAAATTCGAATATTATCAATACTGGATTGTATTACACATTTAATGATAATTAACCTATAAACATTCTTTCTTAATATTTTATTATAAGTTTATNGTGTGAGATGGTACCACGTGACACCTTCAACACGTTGGGAGTTGTAACACGAAAAACTCGAGACTAAGGCCCCCGATAGGGGTGCTGTACAGGAGTAGTTTGTACCGGTTGCCAGATCGGTGGTACCGATTGAAGTTCCATAAACTTTATCGACGAAATGGCCTAGCCTGGTCTTCGGGCCGGGCGATGATGGCAATTTTTTTGGAATGGTCTCTACTTGCTTGGCACTTGGGCTGGGGGACTTGTCTCCCATCCGTTGCTACTTGCTTGGGGCTTGGGCACTTGTCTCCCATCCGTTAGGTGCTGTATAGGAGTAGTCGTACTGGATAACAGATCGGTTTTCCGATCGAGGCGTTCAATAAACTTTATCCGACTTGGATTATGTGCATTTATTGAGAATGGAATTGTTAAGAATAAAGGTTTAGTATTTATCGTTATTTATTTGTCTGTGCTTGTAAATCTCTCGAAGTCGAATGTAAAGAGTAATTACTTGTTTTAATCTAGAAATGATTTATTTTTAGAATATAAAAATCGTATTAATATAGTTACCGATCCCATTGACTGTAATTTTATAAATATATGTGACCTTCCAAAAGATTAATTTAACAAAAGTATTTAAATATTCCTTCTCAACTGTTATCTTCACACAGTTAATAGATGACCGGCACGACTCCATTGCTAACGGAAAAGTATGATGTAATGGGGCAAGACACTACAGTTCTAATTTGAGGTGGAAAACATATATTTTAAATTTAATTAATTAAAAATGTGATTAAAAATTGCAGCCTGGCATTGTGACGATATCACAATAAATAATTGCTTGTTATAGTTTCAAATCGAAGTCACTCAAATCGCGCAGGATTAATAAAGGACTCATATTGCTAAGACATTTACACATCAACAATACAGGACTGTTATAATATGCAATAGAAAAAAATATAAAGATAAGATGTAGTTTATATGACTAATACAGTAATAGGTATTCTGTTTCCTACAGAGATACTTATTGACATTTTTGAATAAAACATACAACTGGACAATACCTCGTATGTTAAAGTACGATTGGTTTCAAATTACAAAGAAATAAATTATTCTGCGAGTCTATATTATTGAGTGAGTCCGAGCCGATGGGTTCCACTGTTTATCTCTTCCTCCATTATTCACAGTCCTTTGTATTCGTGATTGAATTACTCATGCTGAAGTTATTTCTATGAAGAAATTCAGCCTAAGGATATCAATTCTCTTCGAAGGAATTCCTTTTCAGCTGAATTAATTACATCAGTTACACGGAATTTGGATGTTGTACAGAAATGTGTATATCTCGGATAATTCGAAATCGTCTCTTGAATTTCGATCTAATGAGGATTTCCTGTAGTTTACTGGGAAGCCACAGATGCCATTGGATATAGAACGCGCATACTTATATTATATACATTGCTTTTGCTGTAGTGATACCGCAAGTTTGCGATATTTTTTGTTTATCTTGCGTAAATTTAACTCCAATTATGGCTTCTAAGAGAGATTAGTGTGTCAGTGATAGTATCAAACGAAAACACCAGTGCATATCGATCCAAGATAAAGTAGAATTGTGGAAAAAATGAAAGGTGGTTTGTGTAAACTGTGTTGACCACAGTTCGTCCGGCAAGAATTGTGGTGGCGTATAATAATAATTCATTCAATTCAGGGCTTTGAAACCTAGGATGTTGGAAATTTTATGCTGAGGCTGTTTCTGGAAGATTTACGTTTTCGGGAATTTAATGTTACTGTGTAAGATGTCAATTGGCTGATTAGTTTTGCTCTTTTGAGTGAAAATCTTGAGAAATCCTTGTGTCGACATATCAAAAATAGTTAGTTTACAGTTAATTTTTCTACTGAGCAAATATATATGTAGAACGTAGATTTTAAATTCTGTATTAAATTTGGAAAATTAAAATCAGTTTATAATTTATTCGTTTGCATCCAATACACGAAAGATAATCAGGCAGTGTTTACCGTGTTTTACGTCATATAAGACGCACCTCAATTTCAGCATAAAATATTTGAATAAAAGATATCTAATATACAGTACAGTATAGTACAGAAAGTCATTCTGGGGCTTTAGCAATCGGTATAAATAATTTTTACGGTATTCCGGTTTAAAAGAAAATAAAAATTATAGCGCACAATTTTATTCATTAGGAAAATGCAAGGGTTTAAAATAAGTCATTTACTATTAAAATATTGTTAATCAATACATACAAAAGCTGCTTAGATATAACAGAAAAATAAAGAATAATATCTTAGTCATAAATATGTATTAAGGGCTACCTGGGGAGCCAACTCAAAGCCTTTTGAGGAAATAATTAGTCTATGGAAGATCACTTCACATATAAGATGTAGGGAGTTTCTTGAGCTTTGCTTGTTTTTGACAAAAGTTGCGTCTTGTATGCCGTAATATACATTAATTGTCTTTGTCAATTTAATCATTAAACTATCATAAATGCCATTTTTAGAATTAGTATAATAAAGTATATAATTTAAGAATTAATGTATTAATTATTATAAATATTTGTTGTTTTTGTAACATTCATTTCAATATTAATAAATTAGTTAATGAAAAATAACCATACAAGATTTTTTAGTTTAGTCGACTTTGCTTATAAATATAATCATAAACAACCCTATTCTATAAATTATAATGAATATGGACCAAAAAATTGTATATCTATAGTTAGATTTAAATTTAAATATCTTAAAGATATAGAACAAGCTGTCTTCGTCCTTGAACACTGGGAGTTCGGTCGTAAGTTCACCCCTCGCTCTGGGCTGGACGGGCTGGCATGTGGAGTTTTTCGGGTATTCTCCACGTCTGTAAGGCCCGAATATGGGCCAGTTTCCCTTAAAAGACCTCCCGAAAGGCATTATTTTCCCCGCGAGTATGACCATTCCATCTATAAGTCCGGTATGCGTCCATATTCTCGTTCTTCGAATAAATAGGCTATATGAGCTGCACACACTCCATATTGACCATTGAAAGAAGAAGAAAAATATAGAAAACATTAATTAAAGTTATAAAAATATTGTTCAATTTATTTAACATAAAATAAAACAGTACTATTTTAATTAACCCAGCGTTGTACGCATTTCCACACGATTTGAGTAACTGCATCGAAACCTTTCAGGGATCATATCATCTCTTCCAGGAAGAGGTCAACGATTAGTTTTGCTCGAATTAACTTCAACCTCATTCCGCAACACTCCTTTCTATCGCACCAGCTGCTTACATTTGAATAGGAAAATTACGTAATATTATTTCAAAATTACCAGCGATCATAAAATATGTTTTAAGGATTTTTTGTGGTCGCACGTCTGGTTCTTATAAATTATACAGCAGAAAGATAATATGACATTTAAACTTTATTGTACGTTTAAAAAGCGTATACTATAAATAAAAAATTGTTATTATTTAATGATTTAATTTGTTTTAATATAGAAAACACTTTTACATAAAAAATCCTTACAGCAAAATTGTGTATAGGATCTCAATGGAACATAATCCGTTACTACTAAGTATCAAAAAATAGTTATTTTATTGTTATTTAATTGAGAAAATATTTAGAATATAGATTTTAATTTCGAACGTTATATAAATATATTCAATAAGTGTAAATCCAGTTAACCTGATATACAACCGTTTATATAGGCTTATATATAGGCATGAATGATGGAAGTTTGGCATACGAGCTAAGCGAGTGGGCCAATTTCCATGAATGCCATAATCACTAATTATAAACGAATTGTCATACAGTATTTTGTGGCTAGACTACGCCTATAACACTATACTTATGTAAACCAAAATGGATATAAACACAGTGTTTGTGTCAACTGTGTTTTTACCTATTTTCATTTTATAAGTATATGTTATAGATGTAGTCTAGTCACAAAATTTATTATTGAATTGTTTACATCCAATACATTAAGATAACATTTCATTTTTAATTGTTTTCTTTGACTCAATCATTCAACTATCATAAAATGCTATTTATGTAATTAATATATATTTAAATATTAACTATTAATCTATATATTCATCAAACAAAAATATTTATTTAATAACGAATTTTAATATTTAATACATAAATTTTAATGCATATCATTTAATAAAAGCCTTTTATAACTTAGGCAATATTTGAGACGCAATTTATTATGTCTTGTTTTACAGACTGAAATAATAAAAAATTACCATAATTTTATACTTCATAATATAAAACAATATAGAAATATTAAACAATTTATCACTTACGGGATGCTCGTTTTCGTCAAAAGTCAACAAAGAAAAGCAATATAAATACTGTTCTTTGACGCCGTTCTAAATAGAATAAAATATATTTTAGAATAATTTATTAGCCAAAACTAATTTAATAATAATAATTTATTAGTCAAAAATAAAAAAACATATTTTATCATTTGTAAATTTTTTAAACAGAATAATATACAATCGAATCCCTAAAGGACGGCCGTTTCTTATATTGTAATCAGTAGCCTTAGTTTAGAAGTTGTGCCATATTTTTATATTTTAAATTTATAATCTATATTAAATATACCTTTCATCTTTAAGCTTACCTTTCCTCCGTTTGATTCACAAATCATGTTTATAACTTCGGCAAAAGAATCTTTTCCAAAACATCGATTAAAACGCTCAAACTAAAATAAAACAAAATAATATGTAAGAAAGCAAATCAACCATTATAACTGATCATGAATATATTTAAATTTAAATTTTATAAATATTCAGAAAATTAATAAAACATTATAATTAAATTTTAAAAAATACCTCTTCTTTGTAATTACGAGGCATGTTGTATTCTATACATTCGGAAATCTTGGTTCTAATCGGTTGAGGAAACTCTGCAGATAATTATATATTATAAGATTAAGATTTTTTAAAATTTAAAATTATAAAAAAATATATCTAATATATTTAAAAATCAGATTTTTATTAATTATTTTCATAAAAATATATATATAGCTTACCACAAATGTGATCCGTATGGAAATTAAAAGATAATGAATTAGGTCTGCAGGTAATTTTGCAAGCAAACAATGCGAAAAAGAATAAAATGTAGATCTTCATGGCGACTGCAAAATATATCTTATGTAAATCAATAATTAATTTATCTTTTAAAACAAACGAAATTGGCAATAAAAATTAATGACGAAAATATACTTATTTATTGCCCTCTCTTGGGAAAAGTTTTGTTAATTTATTTTAAATAGAAGAATCTCTGTATTTATTACTTTATTCAACTCAGTAAATGTTGAAATTTCAGTCAATTCTATCGTTATAAAGTCTAATCAAATAATAAATAAACTAACACGCGTTGTTCTTTGAACTTAAAACAAATTTGTTTATAAGAATTCTGTGAACTTCAAACGTAATAAATTGTTTTCATATATATTAAATTTTTTTTCAAAAATTCAAATCGAAATAAAATTCGAACGAATGGTTCCATTTTGGAACGATAAAGGAGAACCTGAGAATGACCTATCCAAATAGGCTGAAAACGTTTGAATAAAGATATAAAAACTCGGCAAGTAGAATTCAGGTGTGTTCATATATTATAGTCATTTTATATTTAT